GTTCTCATTAATGTAGCTGTTTTGGAGGTAGCCATATATGTTATGCCTATTCTAACGTTCAGGTATTGACGCTCACGTGACGTCCGTGGCTTAACAAGGCGCAAATACTCCCACTGATATAGAAAACAACCTAAGCTCTGAATAATATATTTATATATTATGGAATGATATTATGAAATTCCGTTTAGCAATGATGCCAGTTCCATTCTACCTCCATACCTTGTTCATGAGGTGAAACATGACCGGACCTCTCTCCCTCCAGCTTGATAGTTTTTTTTACTCTTGATGGATATTTCACGGATACGGGTTAGTATCGCGCTCGAAGACGAACTTTACTTGGCTTTCGTGGGCGACATGTTCATCATGTTCAGTTCGCGCGATCTTGTCTCATCTGATCATTTTCATTGTGATATTTTCAGAGTCTGCGTAAGGTAGTGAAAGCTGTCCAGCGTTTCTTTTTTTGCAGGGGCCATGCTTGATCGCAAGGATCTTCCCATTTAACCTTCTCGGAAAGGGTTACTCGAAACTTCAATCATCTATTACCCTTCTGTCATCTTTACAGATCTTACTTTTAAGGCACGGTCCGTGATAAGGAGCGGGTAGTGGTGTTGAGAATAAGGAAGGGAAGTTGTAAGGTGACTCGTCTGTGAAGAGGAAAGCTAAAGGAAACGTCAGCAACTCCTTTAGCAGACCCCTGCAGCCTCAAACATTGGTACGGGTAGAAGGGCAAAGGGCCACGTTGCCTCGATCCGGCCGGCTGATTCCTTGCAATGAACCCCATGACCCCATAAAAGACAGATGAGCATCCATTTCGCGCTACTTCTCCGAGAGCATGGCTTTTGGCTGAAAGGCTGACTTTGAAGGCGGGGTCTGGAGGCGGAGTTACTGGGAAAGGAGGTGCCAGTGGAGCAGCTTTGAGCCTTAACCCCTTTATTTCACAAAACCACTTTATTTCACAACTTTCCATTGCATGTTTTCCATTGCGGACCACACTACTTCAAACACAATCTTTGCCCTTTTCATAGGTCATTCCCGGACCGTTCTCGAAGTCTTGCTGACTTCCTCAAACCGTTTTGTTTAGTCTTATATCCGTTTCGCTCATGATGTTCATTTCGTGATGAGCTACATTGCAACAATTCAACGGCCCTGTATTTAGTTGAGAATATACTACCTGTATTTCATCGTGCAAGACAAAAGAGCGTAGAAACCATGCGCTCTAAACGAACATTTATCGAAGAATTTGCATCACGGGAAGACCCGTCAGTGTTCATTCGGAATCTCGTACTCCGACCCGGACGTACTCCGACCGCGGATGAGATCATCAAACGAGGTCTTTTGGGCTACACTAAGCGCAAGGTAGGTGTCTTTTTAATTTTTTGGGTGGTGTACTGGAGGGTAATGCTACTGCTGAAGCCGGCCGTTGTAGGGATGTGATAAGGATTTACAATGTAAAACGTGTGTAAATCATGTATAAAAACATGGAAAGAGTGTTTGCAGTCCAGCGAATAAGTGACACCGTAGTTGCCCATACTATCCCGCCTCTGTGGTACCCGTTTGATCGTCTGGTGCGCTTCACCGTACTAACTCATCCCCTTGGCGACTGAAGCAAGCCGTTAAAGGGCGGTGAAAAGGAAACACTGCCCTGGTTTACGGTAACAGTAATCCAACGGACTGCGAAATCTCTTATGTAAAATGATATGCAGTGAACTGCGAGACGCATGCATTTCTCATAAGTATCGATCCCACGAAGCCGTGTCAGTCAAGAGTCAAAAAGGTTTTGTAATCCAAAAATTACTTCAAAAAGGTCTGCTCTGTTTTAGGCTTCCGGTGAGAAATTCCTTCTTCCACCGGTGCGGCCGACGGATGCCAACAAAAAGTGCCTTATCATCGACCTCGATGAGACGCTGGTCCATTCCTCTTTCAAGGTAAGTCATGTTCTGCTCAATTTTTTTTCTCATGTGAAATGTTTCTGCTGCTCAGCAGCTATCGGTGCAGTGAAATACGTCTAACAGACAGCTTATTATATCCTTGTTTTCAGCCGGTCAAGAATCCGGACTTTGTGATTCCGGTTGAGATCGACGGCATCGTGCATCAGGTGTACGTGCTAAAGCGACCATATGTGGACGAGTTTCTCGCTCGAATTGGCGATCGATACGAGTGTGTGCTCTTCACAGCCAGTCTTGCCAAGGTGAGCGTTTAACAATTAAGTAGCACCAGAGCTTTCTGTTGAGTTAGAAGCGCTTCAATCCGGTCAGCGTACCCGAGTGCATACATGAAGCGGTCCCCTTTCTGAATTTCCCAGGTCAAACAAGCGTTCTGCCCTCCGGGGACGGTACATTGGCACCAGTCTTGCTCGGGAGGGTAAGAACTTCATCGACTGTACACCCGCCACACCCTCTACTTCGCCAGAGTTGTATATGTTACAACGAACTCAATTAGCCGTTACGATTGTGAATAGCAGTAGAATGGGTGCGCAACCCAATCTTTACCACAAGAGTTCTGGGTTATGCGCAAAAGTCAGACCTTGGAGAGGATTTAACCCGCATCTCCCGCTTACCGGGCCGTGGCGTTATCGTTACGCTACCGGCACCACTCCTACCCCCTCTCAGCTCGTAGCATTTTGGCATTGGCCGTAGCTCAGCTCGCCGCATTTTGGCCATGGCCATACAGCACTCACACGCCCAACATGATGAGCCGGTTGGCCGATATCGGCAGCGAACCGTGAGGCTGACGGTTTTACCTGTTTGAAAGCTGCTTTTCTTTAATAACTGCTGTTTAACGTCTGAGGAGGTAACCGGAGAGGGTAAGAGTGGCCCCGTTAATGTAATGATAACGCAATCGTCCGCTAAGCGTAAGATCCGGGTTCAAGTTCCGTCCAAAGTCTGGCTTTTGCCCATAACGCAGCACTCTCGCTTTCGGAGTACGCCCTGCGGCATTAAATAGCAGTTATCAAGCTAAAAGCAACCTGACCCTACACTATTTTAGCGAAAATGAACGTCTATTCAATCAGTCAAAATTTTCAGTACGCCGACCCTGTCGCTGATCTTCTCGACAAGCGCGGGGTGTTTCGATCTCGATTGTTCCGAGAGGCGTGCGTCTCTCACAAAGGGAACTACGTCAAGGTAGGCTTCGAATTAAGGAAAAACGATTCCTTCGAACGATGGGTTTTTACAAAATACTTTTAGGATTTGGCGAGGCTTGGTAGGGATCTAAGTAAAGTGCTGATTATTGACAACTCGCCAGCTAGTTATTCGTTTCATCCGGAAAATGCGGTAAGTCGCTGGCTATATTAAATCTAACCTTGAAAGCGTGAGGCACGATAATTTGGCTTTGCTCAGGAATAGTAGCAGGGGTGCAATATAAGGGGCGAGAAAATGACGAAAAAGAGAAGTTCACCTGCAAAAAACTTGTGAAAATGGCCTTTGTTCTTCGTGGCATTGGAAGTGCATTTTTGGGCGAGTTTTCCATGCGCATCTGCCAACAACGATGCGGCGTGCGTCCGTACATGATGTTGCACCATGCTAGGCGCTATAACGGTGCCCTTTGTTCCAGAAGGCGCGACGCAGCACCCTAAGGCAGCGTTCAGACTTCGCGACGGCAGCGCTTCGGTCGCGCGTTCGACGCGATCGATGCAGTCGAAAGCATGCGTATCGATCGCGTCAAAGGCGCGACCGAAGCGCTGCCGTCGCGAAGTCTGAACGGTGCCTAAGGAGTACATTTTCCTTTCGTGCTAGGCGTATCGACCCTGTACCAGGCTACGACCCACCCCCTAAAAGGTGACTTGATACGACCTCCCCCCCCATACTCCCTCCTCTAATACGATTAAGCTGTGAGTGCTGAGCGTTGGGGTTAAGGGACGGGGAGGGGGAGGTATTTAGCACGAGGAACGAGAAAAACCGCGAAAAGTTATCGGGGAAAGATTTTACCCAACGCCACCAATTTCTCTCAGAAGGCAAATACGACCCCCTCTCCCAACAAGAAGCAAATACCGTCCGTTATAGAGTGCGTGGAGCTATCAAAATCAGCTATCAAAAAAATTTTGTTAGACCGATTACGATCCTTCTTCCCCAGCGACCAAATACGACCGCCCCTGTTGGGAAATCCCAGCGATGATTTGCCCCGCCCTGTGCGCCTTGTTGATTTATCGTGCCACTTGTCTTCAATCTCGATGATCTCGATCAAGTAGATTCACATCTATTCCAGATTCCGGTTCCGACGTGGTGGGACGATCCATCGGACGTCGAACTGCTCGACATTCTTCCACTTTTGGAACGCCTCGAAAAAGCCGAATCAATATACGAGGTTCTGAAACACGAAGATGCACCGTCAGAGCCGTTGTTAGAGCGACCACAATGACGACGTCGTCCGCTATGAGTATCTTCTAGTCTTGATGACGTCTCTGCCTCTTCCACACTGTGATCTATCGCTCTATATCAGTCTCCCTCCGTTACATACGGTTGAATACGACTCCAATCAAACCTCTCCATATTTCCTCTACAGAGCGATCGCCTTCTACGTTGCCTTTGCTAGCCGTGGGCCTGAGGCCAGAACTGACGATAACCGCCCTCACAAATCAGAACGCCTCCAAAGTAATCGTCGGTAAGGCCTGCGGCATGCGCATCTTATCGCATTCGATGCGTTATACGTGTTGTATATAGCCCAGATACAGATTCAGAGTTATCACATATATGTATATGTATATCATAGTTATCGATTAGCTCGATTCTGTGACTGTGATTCAGTCGTTTGTTAATCAAAATACTTTGTTTAGTGCCTTGTCAAAAGATTCAAATAATCAAAGATATATATATCATGTTTAATTTCCTCTCAGAACTTCTTAATACTTCATCACACCTTCATCCTACACTATGCACATTGACCCCCCCCCTGTAGACATTTTTCTTACTGTTTTCCTATTTTTTCTATACACATTGCTGTTGAAACCTCGAATCCCGATGACACTAGGAGTCCTATAACAAGGTGTGCGTATACCGGTGTCAAAATAATACGTACTTGTTGTTCATGTGTGTCAGAATGAAATATGAACACTATGTGAAGCTATTATTTGCACTGAAAACAATTAGAGATACACTCCTTATCCCTGAGCCAGAGTAGGCGTGGCATTTGAACATGGCACGGAATTGGTTACTCGTGGAATATTCCAGTCTGGGACAACTGTCATCTTGTTCTGTGTTGGACAGAGACACGACAACAATTGTGTCAAGATGAAAATATCTCACCAGAAGCATAGACACCTTCAGGTTGAAGTTGAAGCATGCAGCCACGCCTACCCGATCTCAGGGATTTCGAGAATGAGCTGTACGCTACCCGCGATCCTACAGGGTGTGTGGTATGCAGCTGTAGAATATGCTGGTTTCATCATTCGTAAAGGCTCGGAACTTGCTACGGTCTGCGATCAGGTATAGAAGTTGAAGGTATGGCATAGGGAGAGCAGTGCGGTCAACCTTGTTATTGCTCTCGAAGGAATCTGGAAAACCAATCTTCCAACCTCTGAGAGGTTAAGGGCTCTGCTGTTCTAGGACTAGATCCGAATTTAATTGTATGAATTTGAACCACGAACGACTTTAAGGTACCCTCCGCGATCAGGTAGATTGAAAATATGGCGTTGGTAGGGTGGTGTGGTCCGCGACGAACAACCTTGTACCGGTTTTGCGGCAAAAAATTGTAAGGGAGGGGCGCTATAGCGCAATATAGGTTCAGTGACGCCTCCTTTTTCCAGTGACTCCGCCTCCAGACCACCTTGAAGACCCGCCTTTCAGTGAAAAACGAAGCTGCACGACGAAAAAGCATGAAGATGTTATAGTGTAGTTCACACTTGACTGTTATAGTGTAGTTCATTGCGGACGGTTGGGCGTGTTCGTGCGGCTGCGTTTGGCGCGGTGCCAAACTCGTTCTCCACGAGTTGTTCAAGCGAGCAAATGACAATACTGTATCATACCTTTCGTATTACTACTGCTTTTTGTCGCATGCCCGTTTCAACAAGAAGGCAGAGAACAGCTCAAAGAGGGTGACACACTCATACTGGCTGACACGCCCAACCGTCCGCAGCGAAGTGGAGTGTGTTTCTAAGCTTCTATGCTGCCATAGTGGTGCATCCCGTGCGCCTGTGTCGTCTTACCTCTTTGATCCCGTGAAGCATTTTGCGGACGGGCAGACATACAGACATATGCACATAGTACATGCCGACAAACCGACGCACAAAGTTTCTGCTTTATATTAGGATCGGAAAGTTCTCAGCGTTTTGTGCACCTATTTTTTGTACATTCACTGCTGATTAAAAACTCATTCTGCCTTGCTTCTCAGTAGCACATCCTGTAGAGAATTTCTTGCGCTATCTGATGGTATAATTGCCGTTTCACCATTGCTTGATAAACCCCCTTTTTTCAAGATTTTTTCAAGCATGTGAAAAGAGCACTTCGGACGATTTTTTTCTTCGACTATAAATTGGGGCAATCCGCAATCGAAACAGCTCAACAAATTAACCAGGTGTGGGGGCCCAATAGTGCTAGAGAAAGCACTGTGCGGCAATGGCTCAACAAATTTCGTTCTGGAGATTTCAGCCTTGAAGATGAACCTCATAGCGGTCGACCTAAAGCAATATCTGACGAGGATTTTAGGGGGATTTTGGAGGCTGACCCATCCCAAACAGTTCGAGAGATAGCAGAAGAGCTAGGCCTTGGCAAATCCACTGTTGCAGATGGTCTGGAACGCATTGGGAAGGTGAAAAAACTCGACAATTGGGTGCCCCACAATCGGAGTGACCGGCAGGAATCGGCACGTCTCGAGGTTCCTTCTGCATTGCTTTTGCGCAGCAGAAACGACCTGTTTTTGGGCCGAATTGTCACCTGTGATGAAAAATGGGTCATGTATGATAACAGGAGACGTTCCGGACAGTGGTTGGATTTCGACGAACCACCGAGGTAATTTTCAAAGCCGAACCCTCACGAAAAAAAGATTCTGGTCACGGCTTGGTGGTCATCGGCTGGTGTGATCCACTATAACTTTTTATCACCAGGCCAAACCATCACAGCAGAACCCTACTGTGAAGAAATCGACGAATTGTACCGAAAATTTTGTCAGATGCAGCCAACACTTATCAAAAGAAAGGGTCCGATTCCTTTGCATGACAACGCCCGCCCACACGTTTCACAAATCACTATCCATAAATTGAACGAATTGGGGGTTGAAGTTCTACCTCAACCGCCATATTCTTCAGACCTTTCGCCAACCGACTATCACCTTTTCTAACATTTTCAGAACTCCCTTGCTGGAAAATACTTCATCAATCAGGACCAGGCAAAAAAGCCTTCGTGGATTTCTCGACCACCCAGTTTTTTACTTTGATGGGATTTCTCGACTGCTGTCACATTGGCAAAAGTGTGCTGATTCGAATGGTGCCTATTTCGATTAAATCCGATGAGTATTAAAAAAGTTACGATCGTTTAAAGTGAAACACCCAAAACGCTGAGAACTTTCCGGACAACCTAATAGAATAGAAGGATAGTCCGCCTAAGGAGGCCGTTCCGTATGTTACTGTAAGCTGTGAAGCTGTGTTACGATAGAAATTTCGTATTGTGAACCGATGTTATACCGCAAGATCCTACTATATATAATCCGCTAAGTATGTGTGTGTGTGTGCGTGTGTGTCTCACGAAATTCATAGCGACCGTCCCAGTTGCTGTAGGAAGTTGATCTCGAGCAGTGATATAGGAGCTGTGATGGTGGACAGTGAGTGATATCAGCTGATAGGACAGGGCAATCTTATCAGTCGATAAGAAAGGATAAGGGGACACTCACGACATTTATGACCACTATACTGACAAGTATTAAAGGCTCAGTGCAAATTTTTCCTTTAGCCATCACTTTTCTGATAGACGTAGAAAATGAACACATGCCACTAGCCTATCCGCTAAGTATGTCTGTCAGTGTATTTTTGTGTGCGCTTCTGTCTATCCGTCTGTCACGAAATTCATAGCGAGCGTCGCAGAAAAGATAGGATGACAGTTCCAAGAAGTGATATACATGGCAGGACGGGAACACTTTTGGTGGGTGACAGGAGGTGATAACACCTGGATAAGGGGCCTTAGAAGGGAAGGGTGACCGAGTCCATAGTGCGGGACACAGTAACAGTGGGACATTGGTTCCAAGGTATGATATAGGGTGTGGGACAGGAACATTATTGATGGGTGACAGGGAGTGATATCAGCTGATAAGATCTGATAAGAGGCGTCAGAAGAAGGGGCACCGAGTCCATAGCGCGGGTCACAGCAACACTGGGACGTTTGTTCCAAGGTATGATATAGGCTATGGCACAGGAATATTATTGGTGAGTGACAAGAACTGCTAGCAGCTGATAGATTCGATAAGGGGAGTTAGAATGGGAAGGTTACCATACACATAACGTGGGACACAGCATCAGCAGGGTGCTGATTCTGAGTTGTTGAGCAAATGCTATAGGGTGGGAGGTGGGAACGGCGACGGCGGGTGACGGGAAGTGATAACAGCTGATAAGGGCTGATAAGGAGCGTTGCCGTTGTTGTTCAGTCAAATGCTGAGCCTTTACACTACCAATTTATAGAGTTTCAATTATAGGGACCTTGATGACGGGTGACGAAAGAGTAAGGGGCCATTCTCACTACGTTTCTCACCACTGTATATTGAAGGCACAGTGTGCAAGCTTTTCCTGTAGCCATCAACTTTTCGTTTAGCCATCACTTCTTTGATAGCACTAGAAAATGAACTCATCCCACTATCCTACTATATATAATCCGCTAAGTATGTCTGTGTGTGTGTGTGTGTGTGTGTGTGTGTGTCACGAAATTCATAGCGCCCGTCCCAATAGCAGTGACATTGATTTCAAGAAGTGTTGTAGGGTGTGTGACGGGAACACTATTGGTGGGTGACAGGAAGTGATATCAGTTGATAAGATTCGATAAGAGGCGTTAGAAGGGGAGGTCACCATATTCATAACGCGGGTGACAGCATCAGCTAGCTCTTGATTCCAAGATATGATATAGGGTATGGGCCAAGAACATTATTGGTGGGTGACAAGAACTGTAAGCTGCTGATAAGATTGATAAGGGGCATTAGAAAAGTGAGGTCATCGTGTTAGCGCAGGTCAGAGGCATGCGTTCAGCAAGTCACATAAAGGGTGAGATGGGGACATCAACCGTGGGTGACTGGAGGCGATAACTACTGATAGGGGCTGATAAGAGAAATTGCAGTCGTCGTCGCTGTTCGGGCTTTCACGCTACCGAATCTAAGAGATTTGGTGATGAGGACATTGACCACTGGTGACTAGTAATCTTATCAATCGATAAAAACGGATAGGATAC